TGCGTAAAAACAACCAAAACACAAAGAAAATGTGACTATACTGACTCATATTAGTGCAAAGTGCAGAACAATTTTCCTTAATTACACACTTGTTTTACAATTTTATTATTACCAACCACCACAAACCAGGGACATCCCCGTTTTTTTTGTTTTTTGTTTTTGTTTTTTTTTGCTAAGCCTACATTAATATACACTGTCCCAATCAAATAAATAAATAATAAATAAACCAAGGCAGAATTATGTAGCGTGCACACCGCAAACAGAAAAATAAATGGACTTGAACATGGACTTTTAAAGAGCGAGTCCACCTCAAATGAACCTTTAGTGAAATGAAGTGATGTGAAATTCAGTCTCTCGAGCAAACAAACGAAAAAAAATCCATGTCCGCATACAAACATCTGGACGTCAGTGCGCTGCCGACGGCCCCGCGTATCCGAGCGTAGAGCAGCGGGGCTTGTGTGGTCAGCTCTGTGTGTCATGTGACTGCGCCTGAGCCCGTGGCATTACCAGGGTCGAGGTCGAGGATTTGAGTCTCCAGCGGACCACCCATGTTCTACACACACCACTGTTGCTTTAGATCAGAGCGGCCAATCACACTCAGGAGATGGTGGAGAAGTTACAAATAACTTCACAGCTCTTCAAACAAGACTTTATCCCCCACGTCTCTGGCCGTAACGGACACAGGATCCACCACAAACCATTTCCCACAAACCAAAAGACGACGACCCAAAGCAGGAGAAAGATGGTTAGTGCCAAATCCAACTCACTAGATTAAACTAAGACCAAATCAAGACCAAATCAAGACCAAACCAAGATAAAGCCAAGACTAAACCAAGACTAAGACAAAACTAAGACAAGATTAAGCAAGGGCTAAACCAAGACTAAGACAAGACTAAATCAAGATTAAGCCAAAACTAAACCAAGACTAAACCAAAACCAAACCAAGACCAAACCAGGGCTAAACCTAGACTAAACCAAAACTAAGCCTAGATTAAGCCAAGACTAAACCAAGACTAAACCAGGTCTAAACAAACACCAAACCAGAACTAAACAAGACCAAACCAGGACCAAAGTAAGATTAAACCAGGTCTAACCCAGGACTAAACCAGGACAAAACCCAAACTAAACTATGAATAAACCAGGACAAAACCAAGTCTAAACAGGGAAGAAACCAGGACTAAATTGGGTCTAAACCAATACTACACCAGGAGAAAACCATGACTAAATAAAAAAAAAATTAAGACTAAACCAGGGCTAAACTACAACTAAACCAAGATAAAACCAAGACTAAACCAGGACAAAACCAAGACTAAACCAAGATAAAACCAAGACTAAACCAGGACAAAACCAAGACTAAACCAGGACAAAACCAAGACTAAACCAGGACAAAACCAAGACTAAACCAGGACAAAACCAAGACTAAACCAGGACAAAACCAAGACTAAACCAGGACTAAACCAAGACTAAACCAGGACAAAACCAAGACTAAACCAGGACAAAACCAAGACTAAACCAGGACAAAACCAAGACTAAAAAGGACAAAACCAAGACTAAACCAGGACAAAACCAAGACTAAACCAGGACAAAACCAAGACTAAACCAGGACAAAACCAAGACTAAAAAGGACAAAACCAAGAACTAAACCAAAACAAGACTAAACCAGGACAAACCAAGACTAAACCAGGACAAAACCAAGACTAAAGCAGGACAAAACCAAGACTAAACCAGGACAAAACCAAGACTAAAGCAGGACAAAACCAAGACTAAACCAGGACAAAACCAAGACTAAAGCAGGATAAAACCAAGACTAAAGCAGGACAAAAGCAAGACTAAAGCAGGACAAAACCAAGACTAAAGCAGGATAAAAACCAAGACTAAAAAGGACTAAACCATGACTAAACCAGGACAAAACCAAGACTAAAGCAAGACAAAACCAAGACTAAAGCAGGACAAAACCAAGACTAAAGCAGGACAAAACCAAGACTAAAGCAGGACAAAACCAAGACTAAACCAGGACAAAACCAAGACTAAAGCAGGACAAAACCAAGACTAAAGCAGGATAAAACCAAGACTAAAGCAGGACAAAACCAAGACTAAACCAGGACAAAACCAAGACTAAAGCAGGACAAAACCAAGACTAAAGCAGGACAAAACCAAGACTAAAGCAGGACAAAACCAAGACTAAAGCAGGACAAAACCAAGACTAAAGCAGGATAAAACCAAGACTAAAGCAGGACAAAACCAAGACTAAACCAGGACAAAACCAAGACTAAAGCAGGACAAAACCAAGACTAAAGCAGGACAAAACCAAGACTAAAGCAGGACAAAACCAAGACTAAAGCAGGACAAAACCAAGACTAAAGCAGGACAAAACCAAGACTAAACCAGGACAAAACCAAGACTAAACCAGGACAAAACCAAGACTAAAGCAGGACAAAACCAAGGCCTAAACCAGGACTAAACCAGGACTAAACTAATTCTAAACCAGAGCTAAGCTGGAACTAAACCAAGACTAGACCAGGACAAAACCAAGACTAAAGCAGGACAAAACCAAGACTAAACCAGGACAAAACCAAGACTAAAGCAGGATAAAACCAAAACTAAAGCAGGACAAAAGCAAGACTAAACAGGGAAGAAACCAGGACTAAATCGGGTCTAAACCAAGTCTACACCAGGAGAAAACCATGACTAAATCAAGAAAAAATTAAGACTAAACCAGGGCTAAACAACAACTAAACCAAGATAAAACCAAGACTAAACCAGGACAAAACCAAGACTAAAGCAGGATAAAACCAAGACTAAAGCAGGACAAAAGCAAGACTAAAGCAGGACAAAACCAAGACTAAAGCAGGATAAAACCAAGACTAAAGCAGGACAAAACCAAGAATAAACCAGGACAAAACCAAGACTAAAGCAAGACAAAACCAAGACTAAAGCAGGACAAAACCAAGACAAAAGCAGGACAAAACCAAGACTAAAGCAGGACAAAACCAAGACTAAACCAGGACAAAACCAAGACTAAACCAGGACAAAACCAAGACTAAAAAGGACAAAACCAAGACTAAACCAGGACAAAACCAAGACTAAACCAGGACAAAACCAAGACTAAACCAGGACAAAACCAAGACTAAAGCAGGACAAAACCAAGACTAAACCAGGACAAAACCAAGACTAAAGCAGGACAAAACCAAGACTAAACCAGGACAAAACCAAGACTAAAGCAGGATAAAACCAAGACTAAAGCAGGACAAAAGCAAGACTAAAGCAGGACAAAACCAAGACTAAAGCAGGATAAAACCAAGACTAAAAAGGACTAAACCATGACTAAACCAGGACAAAACCAAGACTAAAGCAAGACAAAACCAAGACTAAAGCAGGACAAAACCAAGACTAAAGCAGGACAAAACCAAGACTAAAGCAGGACAAAACCAAGACTAAACCAGGACAAAACCAAGAGTAAAGCAGGACAAAACCAAGACTAAAGCAGGACAAAACCAAGACTAAAGCAGGATAAAACCAAGACTAAAGCAGGACAAAACCAAGACTAAACCAGGACAAAACCAAGACTAAAGCAGGACAAAACCAAGACTAAAGCAGGACAAAACCAAGACTAAAGCAGGACAAAACCAAGACTAAAGCAGGACAAAACCAAGACTAAACCAGGACAAAACCAAGACAAAACCAGGACAAAACCAAGACTAAACCAGGACAAAACCAAGACTAAAGCAGGACAAAACCAAGACTAAACCAGGACAAAACCAAGACTAAACCAGGACAAAACCAAGACTAAAGCAGGACAAAACCAAGACTAAACCAGGACAAAACCAAGACTAAACCAGGACAAAACCAAGACTAAAGCAGGACAAAACCAAGGCCTAAACCAGGACTAAACCAGGACTAAACTAATTCTAAACCAGAGCTAAGCTGGAACTAAACCAAGACTAGACCAGGACAAAACCAAGACTAAAGCAGGACAAAACCAAGACTAAACCAGGACAAAAACCAAGACTAAAGCAGGATAAAACCAAAACTAAAGCAGGACAAAAGCAAGACTAAACAGGGAAGAAACCAGGACTAAATCGGGTCTAAACCAAGTCTACACCAGGAGAAAACCATGACTAAATCAAGAAAAAATTAAGACTAAACCAGGGCTAAACAACAACTAAACCAAGATAAAACCAAGACTAAACCAGGTCTAAACCAAGACTAAACCAGGACTAAACCAGGTCTAAACCAAGACTAAACCAGGACTAAACCAGGTCTAAACCAAGACTAAACCAGGACTAAACCAGGACCAAACCAGGACAAAACCAAGACTAAACCAGGACAAAACCCAAACTAAACTAGGACAAAACCAAGACTAAACAGGGAAGAAACCAGGAGAAAACCATGACTAAACCAAGAAAAAAAACTAGACTAAACCAGGTCTAAACCAGCACTAAATCAGGGCAAAACCAAGATTAAACCAAGACAAAATCAGAACTAAACCCCCAAAAAAAATTAAAAAAAATGAAGACAAAACCTGGACTAAACCAGGACTAAACTAATTCTAAACCAAAGCTAAGCTGGAACTAAACCAAGACTAGACCAGGACAAAACCAAGACTAAACCAAGAAGAAACCAGGACTAAACAAGGTCTACACCAGGACTAAACCAGGACTAAACCAGAAGTAAACCAGAAGTAAACCAAGATTAAAAAGGACTAAACCATGACTAAACAAGGGCTAAACCAAGACTAAACCAGGACAAAACCAAGACTAAACCAGGACTAAACCGAGACTAAAGCAGGACAAAACCAAGACTAAACCAGGACAAAACCAAGACTAAAAAGGACTAAACCATGACTAAACAAGGGCTAAACTAGGACTAAACCAAAAAACTAAATTTACAACAGGTCCAAATGGAAATGCTTTAATTATTCCATGACTAAACCAGGCTCAATGTTAAAATGAGAACTTAACAATAACTACAGTGCGTCTTTTAAAGGCAGTGGTCAGTACCTTGTCTTTGCGCCTCCTCTGACCTCTGGCGTGTGCCCCGTGCAGCTCCAGCAGGACACAGCCCACCAGCGCGTACCATCCCACCTGACCGAGCATGACCGCGGGCCGGACGACACCAGGTCTGAGGCAGGGAGCGGGAGCCTCTCGTACCCAGAGCCGAGCGGGAGGCCACGCCCACCCTGCTGCTCCCGGCCCCGCGCTCACACACACACACACACACATACATACACACAGGCAGAGAAAACAATGCTCTAATCTGCTTTATGAGCTGCTTTGAAACCCCACACAGGGCCCTGAGGCTGACCCAGCTGGGAACGAGTCAAAGCGTGAGCCGCTCTCACAATTGTGCCAATGTGTCAGGCAGGTGCATGTGCAGTCAGGAGCGCTACCTGTCAGACACTTTTATTCTATGTGAACGCTAATACCTACAATTATTGATTTGCATTAAACATGTCCAGAGATCTATGCCTTAAAAAAGCACTATGTAACGTTTTGGTTGGGAGTCTGTCACCTGCTTGTTTCTATGGAGATGTCATTGCTCTGTCTGGAATGTTCCACAGTGTGACATTAAACAGCTTTACTTTACATTTATTCACTTACAGGTGGTGTTACTCAAAAACTCAAAAATACCTAGAAAAACAGGCAGAAAAAAAGAAAAACTGAATTATAAGATGATCATTAAATGGTCTATTTTCAAACTTTTTTCACAAATAAACCGCATGGGACTTTAAAGGAAACACAACAGTGTGATGGGTGAGTGGTTTTGTTTGTTTGTGATGTTCACGGTGACTCTGGGCTTTGTTCAGTTGTGGCGTGTAGGGAGGGGGCTGTCTGGGACCAACGGATTGTCGGCGTGTTCGCAGTGACTCAGTTGTTCAGTCGTGTCTAGAAGTGGCACATTGCACTCGCTTTTTCAGTTCGTTCCTCCGTTCCGTTCCTCGTCGGTGTGGAGTGATGAGTGTGTCTGTGGGTGTGTTTCTCTGTGTGGTCGCTGTCTGCTCAGTGTGTGTTTGTGTGTTCTGCGGGTGGTGTGTTTGTAGTTTACTGAAGTCGTGCTGGGACACAGAGTGGAGTCGTGTATAGGGTGCTCTGGATTGTGGGGCTCGCAGGGAGGAAAATATGGTACATAGAAAAACAGGCATGCTAACTTTGAGTGGGGCCGCCTCTCCACAGATCTGACCTGTAACTTGGTCTGGTTTGGTCTCCATGAAGACAGAAAGGATTAACCCTGTGTCCTGTCAGTCATCATGTCACTGTTTCACTGTCTTCCTATGAGCTCTTGTATAAAGCTGTGACTTTTATATTTTATTACTTATTTTTCTATTTTATGTTGACTTGTACATTTGCATTTATACAATTATGAGGGCCGGGCATGTTAATGCGTTAATTTTGCATTAACTAAATAATGGAGTTTTTATTGTTTTTTTATTTTTTTTCTGTTTCTCACTGGCTTTTATTTTGAAAAAGTCCACCACTAAAGTTTCTTTAAGTTTGACGTCTTTTCTTTACACTTTTTTCTGACAATTTCTGACAACTGTCAATCAGCCACCGGTTCAGTGCTGCAGGGAGAGTCACTGATTTACCCAGATACCATTGGAAGAAAAATTGTGATTGGTCCATTTCCATTCCATTATATTAACTTATAAAAGGTTATAAATAAGAAATATCAGTCCAAGTTTATAACTATGATCTAGAAATTATTACTAGTGTAGTGTTTATTACTCACTGAATAAAAAATATAGAACAAATATATTAGTAGCACAAAAATTCATTCAATATTTTTTCTTGAGCCTTCAGAATACCTTGAAGACTCTGATGGTTCCCCTCTGAAAGAAACTCTGTTTGCACAACAAATGTACAGCTCTTCCATTTACGTGTCCACTAAATATACGCTACTTTTTAATTCATTAATTGGTTCTGCGTATAACATGTGATTAATCGCACTCAAACTCATGCGATTGATATTTTTTATTTTTGCCCAGTCCTAATAATTATTATGGCTTAGTTTTGCACCTGTCTCTTGCTCTTTTTTGCTACTTAGAGTTTATTATGACCATTTATATTTCGCTCATTGTTATTATTATTATATTGTGATGTGTGAGCTTCTGTGTCCCAGTAATTTCCCTTGTGGATCAGTAAAGTTTGTCTAAGTCTAAGTCTAATGCCGTACTGTGACTGTGACCTAGCAGTGTTGGAATTTGTTCGCTTGACGGTAGATGGGTACTTTTGATCATTTAACCAGTCGCTGCTATTTGGGGCTGTAGGAAGATAATAACGTCTTTCCTCTTGATGAAATTCACCAAACATTCTCTTCTTGCTGGCTTTAAATCCTCGATCTTGGGAATCTTTGACAACAAAGAATGTCTGGCTCTTTGCAGATTTTTTTACTTCTGGGGTTTTTGCGAACCGTCTAGTGTATTTTGATTCCTGACCTAGTTGCTGGAGAGAAATAAAATTGAGCGGAGGTGGTGCCAGCCTGGCTAGTATCTTTCCCCATTGTCACTGAAATCAATCAGAGTTCAGATCCAAATGGGAAGTGCACACGATAAGGATAAGGACGGTGGCAGAGCGGCTAACACACGGCAAGAAAGTTCTGGGTTTGATTCTTGAGTTTCCTCTGGAAGCTCTTGTTTCCCCATCAAAACCTAAAACATGCACAATGAGTCAAATCCTCCAGCCAAGATAGTCCTGACAAATGCTCAGCATCATGGAGATGGATCCCACCGCTCCTGAAGATGCCACAACGACAGGGAAGCTTCCAATCCAGAAGAAAATTTCCAAGAAGAAGTGATACAGTACTGTTACGTTTTAAAACTTGTCATGCTAATACAAAGACTAAATGACATTAAAGGACATCCACTGTTATCTCAACTCTTTGGCAAATGAAATGAGCAGAAAGAACAATGCAGCAGGCTTTTGGCTCCGCGCGGAAACCACAACACCACAGGCAACAAGAACCGAGTCAGTCGCCGCTGCCAGCAAAGATGAGGAATCCCCAACCTCTCACACACGAGACGAATCAAAGTGAAAAAAGGGAGATGAGAACCAGAGAAGAGACAGCGCCAGAACCACAGCTGAAGGAAACGTCAACGGGCTATGTAGCGCAGACGGTCCGAGGATGAGCTGATTTACACGATGCAGATGGGAGACCTCCTGTGAACCAACCCAACACATTTAACACATGTGAATGGGACAGATGAAGGAGGCTGAGGCATGTTCAGGAAGAGACACACATGGACCGATAACTCTAATGAAGCATCTTATGTTCAGAAAAGTCACCCGTTTCACCTCAGGGCCCGGTCAAGCAAGTAAACAGCAAGGCCAAAAATTCAAGTTAATGCATCTGATATAAAAATGTATTGAACAGATACATATGTACTCTAGTTTATGAAACTGTTGACCTTTTTTCTGTACCATTTTTGATTCTAAAGTTACATACATTTTAAACAGACCATGTATGAAACATGGAACAAAAATTATTTCCCAAATTTCAAAGACCTGCAAATCATGTCAATAAATGGATGTATTTCATCATATCTTGTGTTATTCCATCTTTGAACTGTTGATGAAGGGACATGATTTTTTTTTTTTTTATGTATTTAAAATGATAAAAATTTGCTTGGAAGAACTGACATATTTTATAGAAATATTTTCCTTTCATTTTGAAGTAATATTAAAGTATTCAGAAGAAAAAAGCGACAGATGATGTAAAATCATGCACCTTCTACTTGCTTGTACAATTTTCCCTCCGTTACTTTTCCCTCCGTTACCATGACCTTTCTTAATATAAAATCTCATGAGTCAAAAAGTAAGAGGTTTTTCAACCTAATCTTGTACCATATGGTAGAAAACTATATGAAGCAAATATTCAAACCAGTTTGTTAAGGATATGTAAGTGAGAACCAAGAGTTATCACTGTTTGGATTTATTGCCCAAAAAGTGCTGCATATTTCATTCCCTCCGTTACCAACATGAGTTTTTAAATTTTTTGTCAACAACTTGAAAGAATATCACAGGTTTAACTTGACCCTGTTGGAGTGTAACTCTTTCCTACATTCTGATACTTTACTTATTTCAATAGTCCCTCTAGTTTCTGAATAAGAGACATTTGAATGTCAAAAATCTGCCCCTGTTTCCCTCCGTTACTGATTGACACTTGTTACTGATTCAGCTTTCCCCTCACAGACAATACAGTGAGGTCAAGATGGAGCCGAACGATGCACAGTATTGAGAGTAGCGATGTGCAAAAATATTGAAATATTGATATATCGTATTGTTTATTGTGATTATACAGTATCGATATCTTGCCAGGTGTATTTTTGGTATACTATACTACATTATACTATACTACATTATTACAGTTTTGTTGTTTGTTCAGAGTAGGGCTGGGCGATATGGATCAAAAAATCTCGATATATTTTGCTATATCTTGATATACCATATATATCTCGATATATGTTCAAGAAAAAATAACCCCCTAAAACTGAAAACTGCAAAAAAACTATGCCAAATTCCACAAGGTCTTTTTTTTTTATTAAAGTGTAAGAGGTCGGCAGTTCATATAGGAACATTTAAGATTACAAAAAACCCTAATTACATAAATAATAATGTAACTACATACATATTTCCTTCTTTTCATTCATAAATAAAACAACTCAACTCAAGATCATCTTTGTATTAACTCTGTTATCCAGAACCAGAACCAGAACCATGAGCTCATTTAGCAGATGAAGCTCAAGATGTTCCTCATTTTAACAGATCCATGTTCCTCACCAGCGTCAGGAGCTCTGAGGTTTAATCCCACAATCCACTGCAGATCAAACCCAACGTTTCCAAACACTATTGTACAAGTGACACTGCAGCAGATTATTCATTAAAATCTTCTGCATAAATAAACTTTTCTGCATAAATAAACTTTACGTGACTAAACTTATATACTTACAATATATAAAGCATAAAGACTCTAGAGCCACATCAGTTCGTTTGAGATAATAAAGTGTTTAATACAATTTTGCGCACGTGTGTTTACATTTTACAGAAACAAAACTTAAGTGCATGGCTCATTTGCATAAACAGTGCACTTCTCATGCAGCTCA